GCGTCTGTCTGTCCTCCGTCCGTTCGGGGGTGAGTGTGCTCTTGGCACGGACGTCCCTTGAGGACAGGCAGGAGGAGTATCCAGTGGTCTGGCTGCTGCTTCACTTATCTCGGTCTGTACTGACTTGCTCCTGAGGGAGACCGGATGCACTAACATCCCGACTCCGCGCTCTTACGCGGAGGCCGTAGAGGGTCCCTACTCCTCTCAGTGGCAGGCAGCTATGGATGCAGAGATGGCTTCCTGGAAGTCCACAGAGCACCTACGTTGACGCGGTTCCCCCTCCTGGGGCGAAACATCGTCATGGGCATGTGGATCTTTCAGGTGAAGCGGCCGCCGGGCTCTCCACCTGTCTTCAAGGCACGGTACGTCGCTCGCTCCTGGCTTCAGTCAGCGGCAGGGAGTTGACTACTTTCAGACCTTCTCTCCCCACCCGAAGATGACTACTCTCGGGTGCTGCTGCACATAGCCGCTCAGCGCGACTACGAGCTTCACTCTCTCGACTTCAGCACTGCGTTTTGCAGGGTAGCCTGCACGAGGAGATCTGGCTGCGCCGTCCACCTGGCTCACTGGGACTTTCCCTCCTGGCACCCAGTGGAGCCTCCGACGGCCAGTCTACGGTCTCCGCCAGGCACCGCGTGAGTGGCACGACACACTGAGGACTACGCTTGCGGCTCTTGGGTTGCTCTTTCTACTGCTGACCCGTCGCTGTTTCTGCGCACCGACACTTCCCTGCCGCCGTTCTACATCCTCGTGTACGTCGACGACTTGGTCTTTGCCACAGCGGACACTGCTGGACTGCCTACGTGAAGTCCGAGCTGCTGAAGAGACACACGTGCACAGACCTGGGTGAACTGCGCAGCATCTTGGCTTGCAGATCACTCGGGACAGAGCACGCCGCACCATTACCTTGACTCAGTCACACATGGTGCAGCAGGTCCTTCAGCGCTTCGGCTTCACGTACTCCTCGCCTCAGGCCACTCCCTGTCTACTCGCAACTCGCTCTCAGCTCTGCCTTCGGATGAGTCCGTAGAGTCGAGTGGCCCGTACCCAGAGCTTGTTGGCTGCCTCATGTACCTGAGATGACTGCACACGACTTGACCTTGCATACCCTCTTAGCATTCTTGCACGCTATGTTGCTCCTGGGAGACACCGACCAGAGCACATGGCTGCAGCGAAGAGGGTGTTGCGCTACTTGTGCAGTACGACGGGCATGGGGCTAGTGCTTGGAGGGCGGAGTCCAGTGGTCCTTACAGGACACGCGGACGCTTCTTGGGCTGACGACCAGGCTACGCAGCGGTCGTCACAGGGTTACACCTTCAGCCTTGGTTCCGGCTCTGTCTCGTGGCGGGCTACTCGCTCGTCTTCGGTTCTCAGCTCCAGTTGTGAGGCTGAGATCTACGCAGGGGCCATGGCTGCACAGGAGCTTCGCTGGCTCACCTACCTGCTGACTGACCTTGGAGAGCCGCCCGTTCTCCTCCAGTGCTGTACGTAGACAACAAGGCCATGCTGGCCTTGTGTCGAGAGCAGCGTCTGGAGCACAGAACGAAGCACATTGCTCTTCGCTACTTCCTTGCTCGTGAGCTACAGCAGCGTGGAGAGTTGCGGCTGCGTACGTGGCCTCTGAGGCCAACACTGCTGATGTGTTCACCAAGGCACTCGCGCCTTGTGACCATCAGCGCTTCTGCACTCAGCTGGGGACTTGTACCTGTCCTACCTCACTTGCTCACCTCTTGACCTTGCTTGTACTCTTGTATATTATATATATATATATATATATATACCTGCTCTTGCTTGTTTAGCCTTATATATATATATGTGTCTAGTCTTGCATGTGAACTGGCCTTGTGGCCTTGACCTTGTGCTCGGACTGTGTGGTGACTTTGTGATCCACCCTTAGCTTTGCCTTGCTTTGCTTGACTGGTCTTGTGACCCTTGTTCTCCCCCACTTTGCCTATGGGGGTGTGTCAGATTATATGACATAGTTGCTGTAGGCTATAGTGGGGTAGCACATATGGGGTACAGGTTTCCAGGGTTGTATTTGTACCCCAATCTTTCCTTAGTCATTCATTCCTGTTCATTACTTTCACAGCTTCCATCTCGAAGCAGATTCCGCAGTCAACTTCAAGGATGCTCGCATGGTAGATGGGACGCCGCTCCACATATGACCGATCATTCGCAAGTTGCGCGTAATGCTAGGACCGATCACAGTTAGGCGTGATTTCGACTCTGCGACGCTGGACGGTACGACTTCATCTTCGGTAGGGATTGGCTACGGACGGTTAGTACACTGTTCGATTGGGCTCAGGGAAGCTGCAGCGTCAAGGTAGACGGGGAGTTTTCGGGAGCTGCCACAGTGGAGTGATATATGGCCACATCCTCCACAGCCATCATCAATGCTGTTCGTGTGCGACAGCTGGTGAAGCGCGAGCGGCACGGATCTTCGCGGTTTTCCTTGAGGAGGTGGAAAGCTGAGGAGAGGAAAGGAGGGAGTGCAGCAGTTAGTGAGAAGGCGACTCTTCATGCTGAGGTGAGTGCACTGTTAGCAGAGTTTTGTAGACGTCTTCCCGACGAGTTGCCCCCAGGGTTATCTCCCAGCCGAGCAGTAAACCATCGAATAGAGTTAGAGCCGGGGAGCAGGCCAGTAGCGAAGCCGCAGTGGAGGTTGAGTCCAGTAGAGACAAAGGAGATGACGCAGCAGGTTAGGCACTTTCTCGCGCAGGGGTTCATACAGCCATCTAGATCGCCTTGGTCAGCACCGATCCTGTTCGCGCCTAAGAAATACGGAGGGTACGGGTATGCATAGATTACCGCGCACTGAACGCCGCTACCGTCAAGAATAGATTCCCGGTGCAGAGAGTTGAGGATCTTCTCGATGCAGTGCAGGGCGCTAGAGTCTTCTCAAAGATCGACCTTCGTTCGGGTTACCACCAGATTCGCGTAGTTCCAGAGGACCAGCACAAGACGGCGTTTTGTACGAAGCAGGGGTTGTACGAGTTAGGTTCTACCGTTCGGATTGACCAACGCCCTTTCAGATGCTCATGAACACCGTCCTCTCCGAGCTCCTAGGTTCGTTCGTTGTAGTTTACCTAGACGACATCCTAATATTCTCCAAGACGAAGGAGGAGCACGTGCAGCACTTGCAGAAGGTCTTCGAGTTTTACGGAGGGAGCAGCTGTACGCTAAGCAGTCGAAGTGCGAATTCTTTCTCCCGAAGTCGAGTTCCTAGGACACGTCGTATCCGCTAGTGGCATTAAGACCAACCCGAAGAAGATCGCAGCAGTACAGGATTGGGTAGGGAGAAAACTGAAACGATAATGAATGAACTATGAATGAAGTGGGTACAAGTACTAACCCTAATTGGGTTGTACCCCTATGGGATACCCCACTACAGCCTACACAATAGTATAAGCTATAATGTTCCAACACACCCCAAAGACAAAGTGGGGGAGAGCAAGGGGTCACAAGACCGGTCAAGCAAAGCAAAGCAAAGCAAGCTCAGGGTGGATCACAACGTCACCACACATTCTGAGCACAACTTCAAGGCACAAGGCCAGTTCACATGTAGGAGTACATATATATATATGGCTATACAAGCAAGAGCAGGTATATGTATATGTAACAGTACAAACAAGGTCAAGAGGTGAGCAAGTGAGGCAAGAGAGGGACACGACCCAGCTGAGTGCAGAAGCGCTGATGATCACAAGGCGCAAGTGCCTTGGTGAAAACATCAGCAGTGTTGGCCTCAGAGGCCACGTACGCAAGCCGCAACTGACCACGCTGCTGTAGCTCACGAGCAAGGAAGTAGCGAGAGCAATGTGCTTTGTTCTGTGCTCCAGTCTCTGCTCTCGACACAAGGCCAGCATGACCTTGTTGTCTACGTACAGGACTAGAGGAGAACGAGGCGGCTCTCCAAGGTCGGTCAGCAGGTAGGTGAGCCAGCGAAGCTCCTGTGCAGCCATGGCCCCGGCGTAGATCTCAGCCTCACAACTGGAGCCGAGAACCGAAGACGAGCGAGTAGCCCGCCACGAAACAGAGCCAGAACCAAGGCTGAAGGTGTAACCCTGTGAAGACCGCTGCGTAGCCTGGTCGTCAGCCCAAGAAGCGTCCGCGTGCCCAGTGAGGACCACTGGACTCCGCCCTCCAAGCACTAGCCCCATGCCCGACGTACTGCACAGGTAGCGCAACACCCTCTTCGCTGCAGCCATGTGCTCTGGTCGGTGTCTCCCAGGAGCAACATAGCGTGCAAGAATGCTAAGAGGGTATGCAAGGTCAGGTCGTGTGCAGGTTATCAGGTACATGAGATAGCCAACAAGCTCTGGATACGGGCCACTCGACTCTACGGACTCATCCGAAGGCAAAGCTGAGAGTGAGTGGCGAGTAGGCAGAGGAGTGGCCTGAGGCGAGGAGTACGTGAAGCCGAAGCGCTGAAAGACCTGCTGCACCATGTGTGACTGAGTCAGGGTAATGGTGCGGCGTGCTCTGTCCCAGGTAATCTGCAAGCCAAGGTAGCTGCGCAGTTCACCCAGGTCAGTGCACGTGTGTCTCTTCTGCAGCTCGGACTTCACGTAGGCGAGTCCAGCAGTGCCAGCTGTGGCAAAGACCAAGTCGTCGACGTACACGAGGATGTAGAACGGCGGCAGAGAGGTGTCGATGTGCAGAAACAGCGACGGTCGGCGGCAGTAGAAGGAGCAAACCCAAGAGCCGCAAGCGTAGTCCTCAGTGTGTCGTGCCACTCACGTGGCACCTGGCGGAGACCGTAGACTGGACGCCGGAGACTCCACTGGGTACCAGGAGGGAAAGAGACAGTGAAGCCAGGTGGGTGGCGCAGCCAGATCTCCTCGTGCAGGCTGCCCTGCAAGAAAGCTGTGCTGAAGTCGAGAGAGTGCAGCTCGTAGTCACGGTGAGCAGTACCCGAAGAGTGGACATCTTCGGGGTGGGGGAGAAGGTCTGAAAGTAGTTAACTCCCTGCCGCTGACTGAAGCCACGAGCCACGTAACGCGCTAGAAGACAGGCGGAGAACCCGGCGGCCGCTTCACCCTGAAGATCCACATGCCACTGACGATGTTCGCCCCAGGAGGGGGGACAGCGTCAACATAGGTGCCTGTGGACTTCCAGGAAGCCATCTCTGCATCCATAGCTGCCTGCCACTGAGAGGAGTAGGGACCCTCTATCGCCTCCACGTAAGAGCGCGGAGTCGGGATGTCAAGTGCATCCGGGTCTCCTTCAGGGGTAAGCAGTACGAACACGAGATGAGGTGAAGCGGCAGCCAGACACTGGAACTCCTCCTGCCTGTCCTCAAGGACGTCCGTGCCAAGGGCACACTCACCCCGACGGACGGAGGACAGGCAGACTCAGATTCAGCGACAAGACTAGCAGCGTAGTCTAGACGACAGCGAGCAGCAAAGTCAACGAGCTCAGCAACGAGGGCAGCCGCAGCAGTGGACTCAAAAGAAGGGTCAGCGACGACAGTAGCAAGGAGACGCATGACAGTAGGACTGGCAGCACGAAGAGAGTCCGACTCCGGGTCGGCAAGAGCAGGAAGAGAGGACTCAAGAAGAGAAGGTAAAGGGGCACGCAGAGGAGCAGTAGACGGACGCAGAGACATCCTGTGTGTGCCAGGGACAGGAGGAGGACCCTGACGCGAACCACGACCACTAGCGTGAGCAGCACGGACAGGCGACGTAGGGCGAGACGCAGGCTCACGACGCTCAGCAAGACCTCCAGTAGGACCAGTGTAGGGAGAAGAGCAGACAAAGGTGAGGTAGGCTGCAACTGTAACTGTGACGGGACAGGATGTGGACACTCTAAGGGAGGAGGAGGACCAATAGAAGGTGGAAGACCAATAACCTGCTGAAGGAGCGGAACGAAGTACGGTCGAGGCCGCGTGGCGACGCCAGAAACAGCAGGGACAGCACAAGTACCCCCAGCAGGAGCACCCGCTCCAGCAGCACCTCCAGCAGCTCCAGAACCTTCAGCAGCACCAGGAGCACCCCTAGCAGGACCACCAGTGGTAGTCTCAGCGTCAACACCCTCAGAAGCACCAGCTCCAGTCAAAACTGCAGGCCTAGCAGCTCCAGCACTCCCAGTACGAGCACCTCCGGGACCCGCGTCAGCAGCACCCTCAGTAGCCGAAGAACCTCGAGCACCAGCAGCACGGCTCCAGCGCCGGGCAAACCACTCGCGCAGCTCCTGTGGAGAGAGTGGCTCTCGGCGAGACGAAGCACCCAAAGAACCTCCAGGCGGAGCACCTCCAGGCTCAGCACCCGAAGGACCGACAGCAGTAGCCTCCGCGCCAACACCCGAAGCAGCTCCCGCTCCAGAAGTACCGCAGGCCCAGCATCTCCAGTACTCCCAATACGTGCACCTCCGGGACCCGTGGCACCAGCACTCTTAGCAGTAGCAGAACCTCCAGTACCCGCAGCACCTCCAGCTCCAGCAGCTCGCCTCCAGCGCCGGGCAAACCAATCACGCAGCTCCTGTGGAGAGAGTGGTGGCCCGGCGAGACGAAGCACCCGGAGAACCGCCAAGCTCAGCACCTCCAGGCGTAGCACCCCCAGGCTCAGTACCCCCAGGCTCAGCACCCCCAGGCGTAGCACCCCCAGGCTCAGCACCCCCAGGCTCAGCACCCCAGTCGTAGCACCCTCAGGCTCAGCACCCCCAGGCGTAGCACCCACACGCTCAGCACCCTAGAGTCAGCACCCCAGAGTCAGCACCCCCAGGCTCAACACCCCCAGCAGCACCAGAGTCACCAGCGACCTCGACAGGCTCGACAGCGTGTACCTGGGACACACCTGAAGGGGCAGGACCCTGAGGGGGGAGGGGGTCTACCGGGGGGGGACCTGGCACAAGGAAGAGCGGTGGCGGGGGGAGGGATGTAGTGCGGTAGGGAAAGAGACGGTAGTAGGGGACCGACTCCTCGAACGTGACGTCCTGGGAGGACAGAAACACGGCGAGAGGTGGGGTGGTAGAACTGCCACCCTGGCGCGTCAGGGGGGAAACCCAGGAAGACGCAAGGAGTAGCACGAGGGGACAGCTTGTCCGCAGACAAGTCGCGAACAAACGCCCGAGATCCCCAGACATGGAACGCAGACGCATCGCCAACCTTCCCCGTCCATAGCAAGGCTGGGGAGGTCTCCGGCGTGGAGACCCTGGGGTGAAGGTTGATCTGATTCGCCGCGTACCGAACCGCAAACGGCCACAGAAAATGGGGGGCAGCCGCATGCATCATAGACGTACGAGCGACGTCCATGACCATGCCAATGCGGCGCTCAGCAATCCCATTTTGCTGCGGAAAGTCCGGAAGCGTGAAGGTCTGACGGATGCCTCGTGCACGACAGTAGGCTCGCAGAAGGCCAGAGGAGAACACTCCGCCTCTGTCCGAGTGCAGACGCAGAACAGGAAAGTCCGAGCCAAAGCTCTGCCTGAGCTGGAGACGAGCTGCGCGGATCCAGTCGATCAGCACCTCAGTGACATCACCCTTGCTGCGCAAGGGGAAGGAAGACTGCGGTGTAACCCGAGTAGTCGTCAACAACGAGCAGGAAGTAGCGCTCGTGACCCTGTCCACGGACGCGGGCTGGGCCCCACACGTCCATGTGAAGCGGCTGCAACGGGGCCTCTGTCGGAGGAAAATGGGAGGAGTGAGGGGCAGCCCGCTGCTGCCCCTCTACACAGGGGACGCAGGTAGGGCCAGGCCCCGGAGGAAGGGGAGGGAGGGACCGGGGAAGACCAGAGACAAGGACACGTGAGGCCATGCTTCGGAGACGAAGCAGGGAGGGGTGACCAAGGCGGTGGTGCCAGAGGAGAGTCTCGTGAGACAGGAGGCGACACGAGCAGGGGGCAGACTCAGGACCAGACCTGGACGCTGCAGCAAACACCTGACCCGATGCAGCTACCTGACTAGACGCAGTGACTGGAGGAGACGCAGTGGTAAGTGTGTACAGGCTCGACCCCGGCCGACGAGTAAACGTGGCCAGGTGTCGGCCTGTCCGAGCGTCCGTGCAGTGGGTCACCCGCTGACTCGCAGGAGTGAACTGGTGAAACCCCCGCATCCTGTAGGTCATCACCACTCACCAAGTTCGTAGAGAACGAGGGGAGGTAAAGACCAGACAGGGTGCCAGAGGGGGCCGCCGGACACGGGAGGACAGTGGAGAAGTGAGCAAGGACAGGGCCCCCAGAGGGGTCTGCCAGAGAGACTGCAACTGGCCGACCAAGCGGCGTGAGTGTGGTGCGGTCTCGAAAGAAGGATCGGGAAGCCCCGAGTCGAGTCAAGGGTGAAGGTGTGAGAGGCCGGAGCCGACGCGCGGTACCTGAGAGAGCAGACTCACCCGCACCTGAGGAAGCAGACTCACTAGAACCTAGAGCAGCAGCCGCCTGTACCTGGAGCAGGAGACACACTAGCACCCAGAGCAGCAGCCTCACCAGCAGCTAGAGCAGCAGGCTCTATACCCGGGTCAGGCGGTACGCACAGGTGACCGGCACGGTCAGCTCTAGTAGGCAATGCATACATGGCAGTGAGAATAGCATCATAGTGAAGAGCAAATATATATACCCTCTGCCTAAGCAACTCCACCCAGTCGGGGAGCTCAGCCTCGTCGCCAAAATCGGTACGCCAGGCGTCGCTCAGACGGGCGAAGCAGCGGGACTGTGTGTGACTAGGCGTCCCACAAGGCTGACCAGTCCGAGCACCAGTGCGAATCACGTAAGAGCAGCGAACAGAACTAAGAAACCCTCTACTCTGAGCGTACCACTCACGAAGCTGCTAGGGCGTGAGAGACGCGCGTAGGTGTCGCTGGAGCTGCATCTGGCCGCCGCCAGTAGTAGTAGCAGTAGTAGCGCCGCCACCCCTACAACCCCAACCAGCGTACCACTCACGCAGTTGCTGGGGCGTGAGGGACTCACGCGGATGTCGCTGGGGCTGCATCTGGCTCCGCCAGAAGAAGCAGGAGGAGCAGGAGTAGCAGCAGTAAGGCAGCCAAGAAAGCGGCAGGCAGCGCGCTAGTAAGGCAGGGGCTCACCAGTGGTGGGAAGAGCAGGCTCGACGACTCGGCGACTCGGCGACTCGGCGGTGCGGGCGGTTCGGGCGGCTCGGCGGCACGGTGGCACTGCAGCAATTGCGGCTCGGCGGCTCGGGCGACTCGGCGGCTCGGGCGACTCGGGCGACTCGGCGGCTCGGGCGACTCGGGCGGCTCGGCGGCTCGGCGGCTCGGGCGGCTCGGCGGTACGGCGGCTCGGTAGCAACTGCAGCTCGGCGGCTCCGCGACCCGGCGGCTCGGGCGGCTGAGGTGGGCGCTGCGGCTCGGGCGGCTCCGGTGGCTCGGGTGGCTCGGCACTAGCTCGGCCGGCGCCGGCGGCTCGGTGGTGACGGCGGGGCCACTTGGGGACGGCGGCGGGGCCGGGTTGGAGCGGCGACGGGGCCAGCAGAGGCGGCGCCGGGGCCGCAGGGTAGGGGACCGGGCCAGCAAGAGCGGCGCCGGGGCCGGGTAAAGGGCGGCGCCGGGGCCGGGGAGGTAGGCGACGGGGCTGGGAAGGGCGGCGTCAGGGCCGGGAAGGGCGGAGCCGGGCCGCAGGGTAGGCGACGGGGCTAGCAGAGGCGGGGGCCGGGTCGGGAAGGGCGGCGTCGGGGTCACCGGGGTAGGCGACGGGGCAGCCGAGGTGGCGCCGGGGCCGGGGAAGGGCGGGAGCGGGGACCGGGGAAGGGCGGCGCTAAGGCCGCAGGGGTAGGTGACGGGGCCACTAGGGCGGCGGATCGGGGCCGCGAGGGCGGCGCGACGCGGCCGCTAAGACGGCGCGACGGGGGGTGGTAGCGGGGTCCGCGCGCCTCGGATGCGCGCGCCAGAAAGTGCGCGCGGCGAGATGAAAATAGGTCGCACGCCACGGGGCGTGCGAGAGATCGAGTAGCAGCGGAAGCATTACTAGGGCCCTAGGAACAGTTCCCACGAGGGAACGTGCTCGATACCATTGAGAAAACTGAAACGAGAATGAATGAACTATGAATGAAGTGGGTACAAGTACTAACCCTAATTGGGTTGTACCCCCTATGGGATACCCCACTACAGCCTACACAATAGTATAAGCCTATAATGTTCCGACAGGGTAGCACCAATCTCAGTCAAAGAGTTACAGAGCTTCCTCGGTTTCGCCGAACTACTACCGCCGTTTCGTTCAGGGTTACGCATCGATCGCTAGTCCACTCACCGACCTACTTCGGAAGGGCGTAGAGTACGTTCGGGGACCAGCGCAAGCAGCAGGCGTTCGAGCAGATGAAGCAGTCGCTCACGTCTTCACCGACACTATCGTACCCTGATCCCACTCGACCATACGTTGTAGTGACCGACGCATCAGATCGGGCCATAGGAGCATTGCTTCTTCAGGACCAGGGACGCGGGTTGCAGCCGATCGCGTACGAGTCGCGTAAGCTTAGGGGAGCGGAATTGAACTACCCCATACACGACAAGGAGGCGCTCGCGATCATCCATGCGTATAAGGTGTGGAGGTGCTACCTAGAGGAGGCAGATAGTGTTATACGCACGGACCACTGTTCACTTCATTTCCTCAACTCGCAGCCGCAGCTGAGTCATCGCCAGGCTAGGTGGATGGAGTTCATGGAGGGGTCTTTCACTACAGGATAGAGTACAAGCCAGGCAGTGCGCAAACCAGCAGATCCACTCACTCGCCCTAGTTGCCAGCTCGCTAGTCCTCACAGTCACTACCGGCCACCCACTTCTCATAGCACTCTTCGAGCACGGTTACACGGTAGATCCCGACTTCACAGCACAGCCGCCCACTAGGAGCAGAGGTGCAGGGTAGTGTCTACATATGGAAGGGTACCACACGGATTTGGGTTCCAGCCTACCGCCCTCTTCGACAGCTTCTTCTCTCAGAGGCGCACGACGTAGTTAGTGCAGGTCACTTCAGAGCAGATAAGACGGCTAAGACGCTTAGTCGCACGTACTACTGGCCAGGCTTGCAGCAGACGTAGAGGATTACATTCGCTCGTGCAACACGTGTCAGCGTACGAAGTCCTCTCGCCAGCGCAAAGCAGGACTCTTGCAGCCGATTCCACCGCCCGACCGCTCTTGGCAGGTTGTTACCATGGATTTCATCATGGCATTATCGCGCACAGTTAGGGGTCACGACGCCATCTTCGTGGTGGTGGATAAGTTTTCTCGAGCAGCGCACTTCATCCCCACGCACGGCAAGGTCACAGCAGAGGAAGCCGCGACGCTGTTCGTAGATAACGTAGTCCGACTACACGGGGTTCCAAATTCCATCATTTCCGACCGCGACCCTAGATTCACCTCGAAGTTCTGGAAGCAGCTTTTCGCACTGTTTGGGACTCGCTTAGCCATGTCGTCTGCGTACCATCCAGAGACAGACGGACATACCAAGCGTGTGAACCAGACCTTGGAGCAGATACTTCGCAGCATCACGATGCACGACGCAGCCGCATGGGACAAGAAGCTGAGCATGGCAGAGTTCGCCTACAACAACACGCACCCCTCGTCCACAGGCATGTCACGTTTTTCGCACTGTACGGTCAGCACCCCAACGTCCCCACTCGTGTCGATCTCACACCCACTGTCCCTCGTGCGGACAACTTCCACCAGCACCTCACGTTCATTCATGATCACGTGAGGAAGCACCTTGAGCTCGCAAATGCACGCATGACACGCACCACCAACCACAGTCGTCGTGAGGTGTCGTTCGCAGTCGGCGACCGTGGTTCTCTTGGATAGCCGCAACTTCCGACTGCCACAGGACAGCAAGCTTCGTCCACGTTTCATTGGTCCATTCGTCATTGTGCGCGCACTGGTCCAGTCGCATACCGCCCTCCGCCTTCCCGCTCATTTCCGCATGCACCCGTCATTCCACGTGTCGCTCCTTCGTCCTTACACCGATCCCAACGCCACCTTCTCGGGCCGTGACCGCACTCCACTGCCGGTAGCTGTTGACACCGATGAGCCCGACTACCAGATCCAGCGCATCCTCAGGCACCGTCGCCGTCTTCAGGGGGGTGTCTCTTTCATCGGCTTCTTGGTTCGTTGGCGAGGTTACGACGCACCAGACGATAGCTGGGTTCCTTTGTCCTCACTGTCTCCTGACAACGCTTGCCTCCAAGCGTACCTCCAGTCTGCAGGCGCCGCGGACGTCGCCTCCTTGGGAGGGGGGGTAGTGTTAAGGGGGGATTTACTGTTCATTCCGAACAGTACTTTCCAACTCACCCTTATCCTTATCTTCCTAGATTTCCTAGTGCCACGTGGCACTCCACTTTTCTTGCTTCTACTTTCTAGTCCCACGAAGTACTTTTCGACATTTCGACCTTGCATGCTATATCATTATTGCTTGTATCCCCCAATATCAATCAATTCTCATTCAACTCTTCTTCAATTACTCAGTAACTTCTTCGCCTATTTCGCCAATAGTTCTTTTGCCAAAGTCTTCCGCCGCGTTTCATCCTCGACTTAGTCGACCCCGCTAATTCTTTAAAGGACTTAGGCCGTCGGGCCTAACAAAACGTGCCTAACGCGTGTCATGCAGCCTATAAGGAATTTTCCCTTAGGGCGTGTGTCTTTTGGTGTTGTAATGAAAACTCATTTTCCTTACTTCGCGTCCCCGCTCAGCGCGTACACCACTGTAGCACCACAGTCAGCACCGTTACCACTCGCAACCCCTCGCATCGACAATCCTCCCGCCACCTTCGCACGTCGCATCCCGACCTCACGGCTCGGCGGGTAACCGCGCTACGGGCCTCCGCTTCGACATTTTCCCCAACCTTAGTCCCAGGCCCGTCGCGCGACAACCACATTCCATTACCGTACCACTGTAGTTTCGCTATATATTCTTCGCTCATGCCTTCGCTCATTGTACTCTTGCTTCGATAGTGCAATTCTCGTTCGTTCACTCAATTGCACTAGTAACACTTGGTATTCAGAGCCTACGATCTCTTCTCGGACCGCACCCACACCTTCGTTCTCCCCACTATCTCAATTTTTTGGGGGGGTAGACGTCTCTCAGCGACACAGCACCGCCGCTCGTAGTGCTCTCTTGTAAGCACGCACGGCCCACGACAGAGGCTCTCGCTGATCTCGCCCGACACCCCCGCCATGGCCGATTTGACGCTCGCGACGTTGACGCGGGAGCAGCTCGACCGTCTCGTGCGTCAACTCGAGGATTCGGCCCTCGAAATCGCGACACTCACGGCGGAACGTGACTCCGCCCGCCAGCAATCCACGATGAATGCACCAGCTCCATCACAAGCATCCGCAAATGCACCCTTCACAATCAGAAGAACCGATCGTCATCTCATCAGGCACACCGACGCAAAACGACAGCGTGGGACAACGCTCAGGCGCAACCAGTGATGGCGCCACTCAATCGATGCATGGCATGGAGAGAAATCGGGCCGCGCCAAGCCCGCGTGGGCCTCGCGAAGCTCGTCGGCACGTGGAGTTTGCGGCAACAAGTGGCAACCACGACATCATGGCACCAATGCCAGTCAATGTCAGA